CTCTCTTTCGTGACAGTACGTACATATCATGCGCGACAAAGAGAAATATGAACCGGATCCTTCTTGCGTCACACAAGACAAGGAAGTAGCCAACGGGGACAAAAGAATTTAAGACGTAACGAAAGGTCGCTTTCTTCCACAGCCGTCTAATACTTCGGCCGTTAGATTAATTCATCAGCCACCGTTGAAGTCTGGTTAAGGTATTGTACTTTTGTTACGATTAGGAAGTCTGACGTTACTTTATCGCCACTTACTCTTCTTAGTCTTATTTATGCAAAATCAACGCTCGCTCGCGTGTCTAACAGTGTGAGAGCAAACATTTATTGGCGATCAACTTAACAACGGAAAGAAGCTTCCAGAATTATTTATTGTCTTTATGCACATACTACAGTGTTATAGGAGGTTTTGAAAAGTTGATTCGTCGGCGATAAGTACGCTTTGTACGGAACTGGGCAAGAGAAACAGAAGAGAAATTCAGTACAATGGAGCTTCCATAAGATTTTGAGATCGTAAAAATATTAATTCGCGAAAACCAGACTCACAAAAAAAGAAGTTCTAAATCATGTTTGTAGATTTCACATTAGATTCAGGTCTACACTCTGGAATAATCAGCTCTCATTAGGTATTTCTGTTCCAGAATAGTTCTTCGATATTATCAACAATTTAAAAACGACAAGCGATTGCCGTAAACAAACGACTAAGTTCATTATAGCTTAACCTCCCGATCTGTTTTACTGTCGGAGTTGGCAGACAGATTTAAGCGACACACCGCCCTTTCAGGATTTAGAATGTTTAACTTAACGGTAAACTAAGAAGACTCCCTAGTTAGAAACACTTTTGTGTTAGAATATTTTCACTTAATTTATGGTGCTTGTACCGTCCTTTCATCCGTGACCAAAAGCAATTAAATCAATCCTTACAGTTTACTGAGTTTGTCTACGGAACGTGTCTGCGTAAAGCCTGAAAGTTATAGGCCTTATCTTTCAGTCAATTCCAAGCAATGGCCTATTAGTGCAGATGTGGGTAGTAAATGATCGCGAACGGTTTATTTCCAAGAGCAGCTACACCAAATGGTCGTTGCTTGTGAAGAATATAAATGAATACAATATTAAATATTATAACATAGCTAGAAAATTCGCCTAATCAAATTCAATAGCGCGAGCGTGCTTCATATTCCTATTGAGCACGCTGATGACGTCAATAAACTATTCGTAATTCCTCGAGTTGTTGGGAGCTTAGCAATCCTGAGTCTCCCGAGTGCATCCATAACTCAGCAATAGACAATGAAGCGTTTACCATGTGTTTTATAAGGAAATTTAAGAGGAAAGGTTTGAATTTGTTAACCGATAGTAAGGAAAAGAGGTGAGTGTTGTTGTTGTTGTTGTCATCTCGGCGAGCTGTGCGGGCTATGGCGTGAGATCATTCTTTGCAAAGTTGTTTTCTCTCAATAACAATTTTTCGGTAAATTAAAAGTTTTCCGGCACCTAAATATGGATTTTGCAATCATTTTAGAGTACACTTTCTCTCAGTTTCAGGATAAAAACATAAGATTAACTGTGAGGAAAAAAAATATAGTCACGTAATCATTAACGCGTACTGCTTAAAATTTTCAGTTAACTGCTGCATTGATCGCTTTGATAATGTTATAAAACAATTAGTTCATGCTGCAGCTGTGCGTATGTCGAGATATTGAGCACTTGGGAAGTTTGGAGAGCACTCAAAAGGCTAGAGTTGCACTCGGCTGCGCCTCGTGCAACTCTTACGCCTCTTTCGTGCTCTCCAAACTTCCCGCGTGCTCAATATCTCGACATACGCACGCTGCCGCATGAACTAATTGTTAATCTGCACATAAAATGAATACGGTTCGACAAATTTAAGATGAGTGTCTCTTATGACAGCCGCAATTGTTGCCACGTCGTCAATGAATTATTGCTTTCACTTTCCTTTTTCTTTCGGTAGGAATCTGAAAGAAGTGTACGAACAGGTAAATGCACTTGAAGTCACTTCATTTAAGTCTATCTCAACCAGTACACTCGGCAACAGACCTTAACCTCGATTAATCAATTCAATGCCCTGAGCAACTGCTTGAAGCAATCTTGCATTATATATATCATTTATATAAATCATTTGAAGTCATCGAACCGAATCAAATTATATATCTCATTCAGTCAATTCTAAGAATCGCTACATCATCCCCTCAGCCGGGTAAATCCTGTGTGGCTAACTTTATATTATGGCTGTATTACCGCGCTACTGAGTAGGTCACTGAAATCACACGATTTTCAGGACTACACCGAGTGTCAAATTTCACGCAGGTATCAGTAACTATCAAAGCACAGGCAACAACAACAACAACGAGCTTTATTTGCATGACCATACAAACGCATACAGTATTGCAAAAGCTATGTTAAGGAATCAAAATTACAACATAGGGCAATTACGTTACTTTGATAATAATTTGTCACGAACAACAAAACAAGCTGAAATATATTTTATGAATTGTATATTGATAAAGTATTTAGAAGAGTTCATCAGTTCATTGATCAAACCGTTTGTAGGTAACTGGGTAATATTTGGAATCAGAGTCTTGATAATCATAGAGTATGTAGGACATTGAAAAAGAAATTGAACTTCGTCTTCTATTACATTGCATCCACAAAAAGGGCAATGCCTATTATCCTTCGTAGTTTGATTGTATCTGCCCATTTCTATCATTAGGTTGTGATTGCTTATTCGTAGTTTTACTAAAGCCCTTCTCCCAGGCTGTTCCTCTTGTTAAGTCTAAGTAACTAGAGGAGGTGTGATCGGTTTTAAAAGATCTATAAAATTCAAGTTTTTGAGAATGTTGAAGGGTGTTTTGCCAATATGAGATATATTCCTGTTTCATTGAATTTACATAGCAGCCCAAGCTGAGTATGGGATACGTTCGGTATCATATTGCGCAATCCTCACAATGCCCGTGACAATTATACATGTAATAGATACTAGACAGTAGTAACCAAGTGTCTGGAAGTGCGGGCGAAGATATGCGGCGTTTACCTTAAATTGATTGATTTTGAGAACTGCTTTTATATTGTGTACATGAGTAAGAAAGCCCTAGTTAATAGTTCCAGTATCAACACAATGAATCACGGAGGATCATGAACGTGGAAATTGTATTAAACAACACAGTGAACAAGACTGTTATTGAATTCAACTATTTTGTTCACTAGTGCTTAGATACAGGTAATCTTGCGAACGATGAGAAGCGACTGAGGAGAGACGGCATTTTTCGCAGGCAAAGATAAATGCGTGACAACGCTCAAAGTGAAATGAAAATAGCACGAACTCTTATTATTCATGAATCAGTGTTCGGTAACGAAAGGTCATTGAGATGCAACAGTGAAGCATGAAAAAGCTTAGTTTAAACTGCTTATTGAAGTGACAGATGCCAAGCGACGCAACATGCTTGAAAACACATACAATATAAAACAGTTGTAGTGTGACCTGAATTAAGTTAACTTACATGGATTTATAAGCTCACCTGTATCTTACCAGCTCATCCCAGACTAAGCTGAGATCAGGCTCTGCTTTCATTTCACTTATTAAATAGATTTTTGGCAGCAAGGCGAATTGAAAAGTCTTGCATTTGATACAGTACGTGTATACCTGAATTACGCTGACTACGTGTTTTCGAAACAAACAAATATTGTTGCATGCCCTTCGTAACATTACCGCTGTCTCTCGACTTGTTTTCATGTAACACAAGGGCCTTCGCCGTCAATTCGCGGCCACGTACAAAACGGGAATTCCAAGAATGTGGACAGATTTTGCAAAAACCTCGCTGTACAGTTTACAAAGTACCGCTGACCAAGAGTAGTCTGCGCGCTCCTACTTGTCGCCCGCAATAAAGGATTTGTGTGAGAATTCAGGTAATAGATTCAAGAACATAAATATTCGCTGTAATTGTCAATAAACACTTTACCTTTTTAATTGGTTCATTCTTGTTTGCTGTGTCGTTATTTTTGCGATCCACTGCAATTAAACCGATTTTCTTGATCCCCTAGTTTGGATCGGGAAAATAACCGCTCAATAAGCAAGATTAAACTAAGTAAAAAAGGTAAAGTGTTTTTCATGAAAATTCCAAAAAGTATCTATCTTCTTGAATCTATTACCTTAATTCCCATACAAATCCTTTATGATCGCGATTATTTTGAAGATTACGCAAAATGATACCAGTAAAATATCACATTAAACATTCTAATTCTAAGCTTTTGTTGCCTGTGTACAAAGCAAGTACAGTTGAACCTCCATATCCAACCACCCCTCGTAAACAACCACCGCCCGCACACCACCACCTACCCAAATTAAACACAGAAACTTTTACCAGTCACAAGCTTTAGTTCCGTACCATTCGTAAGCAGCCGCGCCATTTTTGACCGGGTGCTTTTGAGGCAACTGTCTTTACAATATTCTATTGATTTTCACCTCGTTTGTAAGCGACCATTTGACGCATGGTGTGATCTCTAAGTAATCTGTATGTAAAATGCTACTCAAATCAACAACATGTCTAGGAACCAAAATATATATGTAGCAATATATCGTGTATAGGGATCTCTCTCCCCGGAAGAGATCCTCCGTGGTTCGATTCTCGTAGTAAGCGGCTAATCGAATAGCGACCACAAAAACTTTGCATTTTGGGTCGTCACTTACGGGAGGTAAAATTTAGTGACCGCTGAAATTGATCCTTTAATATATCTTTTCTTTTTCTCCCACTAGACGTAATAGTGTAGAATATGGCATCATTAAAAAAAGTCAAAGTAGTGCTACTGGCCTCCGAGTGGAGCTCAAAGCATGGTGGACTATCTACCTTCAACAGAGTGTTAGCCATACAGTTGACCCAAAATCCAAAGGTAGCAGTTTCCGTCTTTCTCCCAGAATGCGACCAGACCGAAAGGGACGCGGCAAAGAAGAACAACATTACTTTAGTTGAGGCAGAACCCAGGCCTGGCATTGACAAAATGCTATGGTTATGCCATCCACCGAAAGATCTTGAAATTGACTTTGTTATCGGCCACGGGGTAGTGCTTGGTCGTCAAGCACAAATTATAACAGATAATCGCTCATGCAAGTGGGTACAATTTGTGCACACCGACCCAGAGGAGCTGGGGATGTTCAAAGATTACGCAGATGCAGTTTCAAAGGGAGAAGAGAAGCATCAAACGGAAGTCAAACTCTGCGAAATGGCCGACTTCGTTGTGGCAGTGGGTCCTAAACTGGCAGAGGCTTATCGTTCCTACCTTCGACATTGTGGGAAAGACCGAAATGTCTTTGAGCTTACACCAGGTATCTTCAGCGAGTTCTCTAACGTACTGCAAAGCACGCAAGAAGAGGGCAAATTTCGAGTTTTATCTTTTGGGCGTGGCGATGCCGAAGACTTCCACTTGAAGGGATTTGACGTCGCGGCCAAAGCCGTAGCAAATCTTCATAATGCTCATCTGATCTTTGTTGGCGCTGCGAGCAAGGAACAAGACGAAGTGGCAGAGCGTTTGAAGAAATGCGATTTACCTCCAAGTCGTCTCAGAGTAAGGGCTTACAAGGATAAACGAGAAGGCTTAAAACAGCTTTTCTCTGGGGTGGATCTTGCTTTAATGCCGTCGAGAACCGAGGGTTTTGGACTCGCCGCTTTGGAAGCCCTATCTGCAGGACTACCTGTTTTGGTCAGTGCCAATTCAGGATTCGGAGAAGCCCTTGGTAAAGTGCCTTTTGGTTCAGGATGTGTGATTTCCTCTGACGATGCTGGAGTATGGGCTGAAGAAATCGGCAAGGTGATGAAAAAGCCAAGAGTCACCCGCTTGGAGGAATCAAAATCAATCCTCGAAAATTATGCCAAAAAGTACAACTGGCAGGAACAAACCAAAGATCTCGTTGAAAAAATCATGGCCATTCGTAAGGGTAGGCAGTTCTATTGTTATCTGATTTTGTGAAATAATTCATAAATGCAGTCATATGCCACCTACATTTTTCTCATTTATTGCTTTAATTAATCTGTATAGTGATTTTAAAGATGAATTGACAAATCGACATTAAATGTTAGGATTGAAGAATCATCAGAGTTAACCAAGGGCCATTTTGGTTGTGAGTGTTTTGTACAGGCAATCACATGATTTCGAGTGCAATTTGGGATGAATCAGCACAAGTAAATTTTTTCAAAGGTTAACCAAATTGTAATTAATTTTGTGGTCTTTGAAAAATTTACAACTATTTATTTATCCCAAATTGTACGAGAATAACCGTGTGATTACTTGTTAGTATATACATGCAAAAATTTGACTTGCTCTTCCTCTTTTGCGTGTCACCGAGCCACTCCTCCTTGTTCCCGCCTACAAATGACAGCCTCGACCAAGATTGGTCTAGATTTTGATAGTTGAATACCTGACGGACAAAAACCACTAGAAGCTCGAAATTTGTTTACCGAAAAGTGAAGCCTTTTGTCGTTTTACGCTTTTAACTTTTCAAGTTATTCCACTTCCGCCACGGAAAGAACTACAACTGCGATAAAGATTATATTCCTTTGTTGTGTTTTGTATATTTGGGTTTTGGTTGAGGAAAGCGTCGCAACGGGGATTTCAGCGATGGCTGTTTTTGTCTGGTTTAACGGCGAGCATAATTATTTTAAGTTTCAGTCATACGGCACGGTGACTCATAAGATAAATGTGCACAAGCTTTTAAACAGTTTTCTGACTGTAAATGAAAAGGGCAAGTTCTAAAGAAAACTTAGTCGTCGTGTTGGTTTTAAAAAGAAGGCTTTAAGCGGGTATGTTCGTCTAGTATTCGCCTTCCAAACGCGAAGCCGACTAAAATACAAACACACAGAAAACATTAGGTTTTAAAAAAGATTTTCCGCAACTCCTCAATCACACTACTTTCTTATGAAAGGTGATTTTGTTTTCAGACATTTTTCCTGTTTTGAGTGTCCTTCAAGAATTTTGCATTTTGCTATTTGGGAGGGAGTAAGGGAGGGTACGAATATCTCAAAACCGCACAGAATAACATAAGAAAACCGCAAACCGCTTGGTTATGTAAAACAGCAAGACCGCACCAAAAATCGAGCAAAACCGCATCACCGCAAACTTACGCCCCCTGATTAATGGCTTTGTTTCTTCTGGTTTCGTTCTTGGAGTGTGGGTCAAAATGCCGCGTAAATGAAACTGAAATCAGACTTGCTTTTTAATTATGGTTGCAGGACTTGTGATTTACGTCTGTTTGCACATTCTCCACCCTCACCGAAAAAAATACGGAAAGGAGTTGTCGATTGTTCTACTGACAGACCGTTAACTCACCTGGCGCTGTTGATCAATTTAATTTCAACTTTCTGCAATCAATTTCAACTTTTTGCACTCAAAAATTTCAACTTTCTGGACTGTTTGGGATTAATTGACGTGCTCTGATCTCAGCCAATGAGCGTGCTTAAATTATTGCACGTATATTATTAGTGTATCAATTATAAGGAACCTCTAAGGTCTGAAAAGCTAGAAAGTAAAATAAGACGATTAAAGGGAGCATTACTATATTACAAACGAAACGTTAATCACTGTCACCGGCCGTACGGTCCTACTCGGGACCATAGTTACGTAGATACTCTCGTTTGCAGGGAGGATTGTAAACAGTCTACTCACTACCATATAAAAATTTGTTATTTCAGAATTAGACATGATTTCTATTAACTTTTCTTCTTTTTTTAACTTCATATCTAAAACATAAATTTCTGCTTTAATTTCATTTTTTTATAGATTCCCCGCGAACATCATCTTCGGACGGCGCTAAGAAGCGAAAAGGAGATTCTCTATCAACAGGTGATTGAAAGGGTATCAATACAAGCTAGGAATAACACATTATTTATATCACAAATAGATAAGTTCAAACCTTTGGTTCTTGTCCTGCTGTTTTTGACCTGACGTCTTAGCTTTCAGATTAATAGCCTGTTCCAGGCGTTTAGATAGTGGTGAGCAAGTTAAATCGTACGCGGCGAGCCCAAAACGAAACACGAGGGGAGACTGGGCGGGAGCGAGAAAACCCCCCCTTTTCCAGCCCTATTTTTCCCTCGTCAATGGAACAGGCTATCAGATTATGTAGGAAGCTTGTACTTCAACCCAGCCGGCACCGGTTTCCGTTGTTTAAAGGGGAAGGATAAGAGGCAGTTCTCCTGCTTGAAACTGGTGGACAGAAAGGACCTTTCTTCATTAAAAGTGAACTAATTAAATTACCATTCTTTTCAAATAGACCAATAGCCGGTTTTGCCTGTGCGCCTCCACATCTCCAAAACCGATGCATGCTGGGGTCCCAGTGGCGGATCGATCTAGGGGAGGGGCCCGGGGAGCCCCCCCTTCCTTATTTTAGACCAAACTAAAGCCCGGCCCGAAGGGCGGGGCGCTTATACGGACCTCCCTAAAAATCACGCCTTAGATCTTGTTCTTACTTACATGTTGTACTTTAACTATTATGTAGCCACTTACATGTTTAAAGTTAACGTTCAATATAAAGTTACAAATAACTCGTTAAAAATATACCATGTACGCACCTTGCCTTGGTGGTGATAAATTAGTAAAAGCACAATGAGCAGGAAACCACCACCGCTGTTTTTTCACCAGTTGACCCTGCTTTCCTGTTTCACACTTGTCATAGCAGGTAACACCGCTGACCAATAGCTACCACAGGCCTACTAACAAATTCAGACAGTTTCAAGTTGTCCCCCTCGATCACCGCTCGTTGATCCACGTTGCGTCAAGGACCTCTCCAGCGTCATCAGTTAAATCCGGTTACCTTCTTTGGTCAAAAATAAATCCAAAGCATTCTTGTAGACAGATAAAGCCAAAATACTTGTCTCTAGCGTTTGAGTTGTTAGATTGGAGAGATGCTTGCAGAGTGGAAAAGTATTGTAGACTGAGAAGTTCTTTTAGCTCAAGTTACTTTTTTAATTGTTCATATATTTATGTATAAAAGTATTTTCTTATTTATTAATAGATTTATTTTAGTATTTTGTTTTTTTGGTCTTCGGATATTTATCTCTAGGTTTGTCATGCTTTGTTGTAATACATGTGACCTTTAGTGTAGCTAAAGTAAGCGTGCCGAGAAGAGTTGTCTCCTTGGTATGGGCTATTAAAAGTAAGGGTGGAGAGAGAAAGTCAGAAATTTGGTTTGATCAACTAAATATTCTGTGATTAACAGTACCTCTTAAAATGCTGAGTTTCCTTTCTTTTCTTGTATTATTTTTGATACCTAAAGAAGAGCCAGCTTCAAAAACAAGTAAGACGACATCAAGTAGCAATCCCAGTGATGCTGATCATGCAGAAGACGCGACTTCGGAGAATTCAATTGACGGTATAATGTCTATAATCTTGTTGTTATGTATGAATTAAGCTATTTCGATAATAACTCCGTAAAATATTTCTAACATCGGAAAATAGGTTTTGAAAATCAAATGACTTCCAGATTGCAGACGTACGTAACCAACGTTCAAAACAACTTTATTTTACTGTTTGGGTAAGGTTATTAAATTCAATTAACAATTTTCTTTTTTGTGCAGAAACGAAGTCTCGAAAAACTGAAAGTAACCCTCCAGAGGTAGATGTTGCTGTGCTTACAAATAAAGAACTTCCTAAAACATCAAAACGTTTGGATCTTGAGCAACTGCCAATCGATATTCTGTTGTTGACAGTACAGGACTGTGAGTTTTTAGCCTGTCTTTCCCACCTGACGGGTTTCTCGAGGATGTTTCAAAAAGACCTTGGCGACGTGTACATCGGAAAAATAGGGGAGATGAAAATCGCTCTAATGAAGTGCAGAATGAGTGCGGCTGGTCCTGGAGGTGCAGCAGGTGTTGTTAGAGACGCAGTCAAAGCCTTAACGCCCAAGGCAGTGTTTTGTGTTGGTTACTGTGGGGGCTTACAACCAGTCAAAGTCAAGCTAGGAGATGTAGTTATTTCCGAGGTACTAATCACATACGCTCCTTCAAAAGTCACCAAAGATGGTATTGAAGAACTTGGCGACCGAGTTCCGCTTAAGCCCAATCTTGCCAAGCTAATACTCAATGCTGCTGCTGGATGGAGCGCACCGTTGCGGGATCCAGCAGAATTAGAGGTGGAACAGGTACGAGGTGCGTTATTGAGTGGACCACAAGTGGTCGATGACAATGATTTGCGTGAAGCACTTCTCAACCGATTCCCTGGGGCAATTGCTATCGAGATGGAGGGCGAAGGTAAAGTAAAATAACATTTTATGACAAAAATTCATCATTCTCCATTCAAGTGACGTAAACTGCGTTAGAAATGGGCGTATCGGTTATCCAAAAAGTTCCGATCCATTGATAATAATGCATTCCCCGTATGCACCAACGCTCAAAGGTGTTTTAACGTTGTTTATTAGTGTCCTAAAGTTTTAAATCCTGTTTTAATTGGTTTAAAATGTGTACCATTCAGACTAACTAGAAAATAATCGTAGCGGCTTTTGATTACTTTCTAACAATCGCTTGACGTGAAAACTTTGGTGTAAACGAGACACAAGTTTTGAGGCATTTTTAAACGAATGGAGAATTGAACTAAGCTGGCTTCAATTCTGTTCTAAACCATACACTTTAAAAAAATATATTTGGGAGCTTGAGCAACTACGAAGGCGCGGAGGGCAAGTGGAACGTCGAAAAAGGAAAACTGCACATTAGCTGATTCAAACAAAAAATCAGCATACTTTTAGATCTTTGGTCAAATTCCAGATCCTTCTCTTGGAAATGTCTTATCTACTACATGTTATCTTTACTTTAAGGTGTTTACTCAGCAGCACATGACCTGAACGTTGAGTGGATAATTGTAAAAGGCGTGTCGGACTTCGCAGATGGCAAAAACTCTGAGAAAAATGCATGGCGACCCTTTGCGAGTTTAATGGCTGCATCATTTGTTGCTCATATCCTCAGTAATCCCATCATTTTTGAAGACTGGCCTCACTACAATAATGGAAAGACGAGTCTACCTCTCTCCTCAGGTGACTACCACACTGACGTGTTTAATTTTTTTAAATGATCATTATAAAACAAACAACCAACAGTGTTCCAAGATACAACAGACCAAGACGCGACTGATTCTACACCTGAATGTGGCTTTTTTTTTTTAACTTAAAAATAAAGAGGCCACAATAGCTGCAAAGCTTTTAACTGATTCATTCTAGAGACGCATTAGTCAATACAAAAGTAATCGCTTCTAAACGGCAATCATCGAAAAGTTCAGTATTCTAATGTTGAATCGCTTATTGGACTGAATGATGACTGTTTCTTCCATGCTTCAATGGGAAGAAAAACCCCTAATAGTTTTTCGATAAAAAGACTTTAGAATCGGTAATCTCGTACCCAGATCTCTTATTGACGAAGCCGAAGGCGAGATCTGGTCAAGTAAGAAAATTCAGTTTTTTTGTTTGGCTAGATTGTGAGCGAACGACGTGAATGTTGTCTCCTGCGCGCGCTATTGCGTGTGCAATTGATTCTCTGCAAATAAATATTTTCACTGAAGAAGTAGTTTTCCGTCTCAATATAACTTGTAAAACCGTTTTTATCTTATCTTTACAGACTTTTAAAACCTCTCTCTCGGTATCAATAAAGATTTTTTAAAAAGAGCAAAAAAAAACTCTCGCGTAGAAGTTGACGCTTACTGCTTTGAGGTTTTAGCATGGATAAGAGAAAGACTATTATCCATGGTTTTAGCGCGCGTTATGATAATTAAATTTAAACCATAAATTATCCATGTTTAATCTAACTTTCGTGTTGAATTTGATGTTACAAAGAACAACAACAATAACAACAAATTATGTCATGCAAATAAATCATGTTTACAGTCAGTTTTCATTTCCCCGCGCATTTAATTTCGCCTCTTCTAACCCGTAAGTTTTTCAGTTTCCTTATGAAACGATCACAGCGCCGATAAAGCAGACCAAGACTCACTATGCAAAGGCCAAAAGCTACCTCAGAACTTTATCCTCGTCTTTGATGTACATGAATTTGTTACTAAGTAGGGTTACAAATTTTTCTTTCCAGATCAAGCCGGTAAGCGTGATGAACAACCATCCAAAGGCAACAAAAAGACCGTATCTGGTGATAAAGGTATAAATATAGTAGCTATTTAAAGGTTCATTTAATCGACCTTAAAGTTTTGTGTTGATTTCATCTTCCTTTTAACCGCTTTGATGTCACAAGCAGACTTTTTCTTGACAAGACCCCTTTAATAGGATCACACATCTACGCTGCATAGTGATTCTGGGTTTGCCACTTACGGGTTTACGTGATATAGTAAAAGGAAAAGTGAGCTCAATCTTTTCCCAAGAAGTAATTTACTGAAGTAATCGATTACATTACTTAAAGCTCCAGTAGCTGTCATAGGTTGGCGAAACCTCACGACATGTCTGGAATCAAGGAGCTTAAAATAATGGCCATATCAGAACGTGGCAGTTCTATTTATTGATGTGATGATAAGTTAGGAATATGAAATCCATCTTTTTGTAACTCTGTAAAATAAATGTGTCCTATCATTTATTACAGCTTTAATAAGAGATGGTACACCTGAACCAGAGGACTTAGAACGCTTGTCAAAAAAGATGGGAACATCCTGGGAATCTGTTGCACGGCGCCTTGAGTTTGAGCAGGAAGAAATTAATGAATTTGACCATGAGTATAAAGGATTCGCGAAGAAAGCCTATCAAATGCTCTGTAGGTGGAAAAAAAGGGATGGTATAAAAGCAACTTACGAAGCCCTGTATAATGCCTTGACTCATGACCTTGTACAGCGTAGGGATTTAGCAGAGGCGTTTTGCCTATTAACCGTGGAATAGTACCTGCAAAAGGCCATTTTAGATGCGATATAAAGTTGTGCTTTACATATTTCATCCACCTCTTTTATACTTTTCGCAATAAAGTAATATACTTTTAGCCCTTTTTTTAGCAAATTTGTACGTACTTTTTTATAACTTGCACGAAAGAAAGGAGGCGAATGACGGCTGTGGAACTGGTGGACCATTGGCACCAACCAAAAATATTTCTTTTTTTAGAAATCTGTTTTTTTATTCATGATTCCAAATCCTAAAGTTGAATTCTATTTCCAATTAGAAGCATCCAAGAGCCTTTTGGAAATTTCACGTTTCCGTAACAGGGTGTTTAAAGGAATGAAATATTTTTATGTTCACACAGGAAGATGTTTCTCGCATTTACTATGAACAGTTGAAATACGTAAATTCGTCAAAATAAGTCAAAAGTAAAACGACCCCATAATCCTACACGCACTCAGGAAAGACAGCTGAAAACGGGGCACTAGAACTACATTTTAAGATTAAGCTTAGTCGTTAATTACATGCGTCAGCCACGAAAAACTTTAACTTTAACGTCGCTGATATTACAGCGCATTAACGCCCATTACCTGCCTCGATCCTCCACGAGCTTTTACAAGTATTTTTGAGAGCGATCGCAGGGCACGAATAACGTCACGAACGGGGTTTCCCTCGTCGTTTCGGCCCCCTTCAACACCACTTTCCTGAGTAATTTATAAATCATATACTGTATCGCCAAATGGGTGATCGTGAGCGACTGGGGACGGGCAAGGCAGCCTCCAAGCAATAGTAAGCCATGTGACTCGTCCATATACATTTAAATATTACGTTTCTAAAAACAGTTTACTTTTAATAAGTTTCGCTAACACTTCTCGAGGTTCACCTTTTTTTATTGTATTGTAAACCTCAACAGTTTGTTAATAACCTTAGGTAGGCTTAAGATTTTATATCAAACAGCGTGGCTGTGATTTTAAACCCATTCTTAGTTACCTTTCATAGTTTTTAAGCAATGTACCAAGTACATAAGGTTGTACATAACAGTAATACATATAGCTGTTTTGTTGCAACCAAGTTTTAGCCAGTTATTTAGTAACAATGTACCTGTTAGAATTTTTCCTACAATAAAGTGTGTTTCATGTACTCGTGTTGTCTATTTCACTGATCTGATTACAGTTGTTGGCTTCATACTAGAAGCTAAGTTAGCCTTCAAGTAGGCAGTTGACTCAAGAGCACTTGAAAGTCTTAAGTCGCTCTGTAGAAAACATGGCCTCACAGTAGTTCACAGGTATCTACACCTGATTCGCCTAATGGATTCTGGAAATTATCGGAAGAAATCTTTAACAGAATAAGCGATAAAAGTGAGCATGTCAATTATTTACTAGCCAATCGCGATGTTGCCAAGCGGCAAAATATCTTGTTTTAAATATCTCGTTTTAATAATCTATTTTGTCGTTCTTTGCTTTTAGTATTTTTCTGATTTTAGTACTCTTATGATAATACATTTTCTATTTTTATCAAATGTTCATAATAATTTTGTAAATAGAGATATCCTGAAGAGATATAATAAAGTTATCTTCTCTTACCCTATCTTCTCGCTCAAAGATGGTTCCAAGTACACTTACATTATACTTGAAGCTCTAGTGAGAAGCCAACGATTATTTCATGTAAGGGCGATAGGCATTATCACGGTTCTCGACGCCATCTTGACGAGTAGGCAACCGCGTGAGAAATTACAGCGTTTATATCAGACTGTTGAATAATTTCCGTAAGACCGTAATTTTCTATACATTTGTCCGTAAAAATTTCTTTTCCTGCCGACTAAAATTTCCCGGGAAAAGTTGCAGACAAATATATGAAAAATCTAAAGCAAGCGTCTGGAGAATTTTAAGCACAGTAACAGCCCCCAAAATTAGTTAGTAAAATCCTCTGCTGTGTAGCTTTAGTTTACTAAACGTTTAAGCAGTTTCCAATGCGACATTTATCCAATGGCGACATATCATTTGAAAAAGGCTGTATATGCAGTGCCGTAGCCAGACCAAACGGCCAACCGAGGCAGGCGGGAGTTGCTAGCGGGGTTCGGGGGCATGCCCCCCCCCCGCCCCCCGAGAGATTTTGAACTTTAGTCTCTCGGAAATGCGATTTGCAGCGTTTTCTGGGCCTTTCGGTAACTTTTTTTCGAGTTAATTTAAGTGGAATTTAAAAAGCAATAATCAGAAACAAGCTACATAATCTGGGTGACCGTTAACCTCGCCAATGGTTTTGATCAGTATTTGTTCAAAAAAAATTTGAGTTAACGTTCGTTGCCCCTTGAGATCGATGATATGGTAATTTTTTCATAGTATATTGACTGAATTGCAGAATTCTTTCTAATATCATGATGCATTAAAAATATGCGATGATCGCTTATGTAAAATAAAAATGATCGGCGAAATTCGTCAAAATTTTACCAAGGCGAGTGCCTCGGTTGGCCTCATACTAGCTACGGCGCTGATATGTAAAACGGAAAGGTGTTTAAAGTTGTAAAGGCTCGCTGTTTTGATTGCATAGAGTTTTTGTTATAATCCTCCAAAAAACGATTTGGTTGGATGCGACGCTTACTCGAAGGGGACGTTTAATCGAGTAAATGCGATATTGTTACAAAGAGGGGGGTAAAGGGGGGTCCTACGCACGAATCACGAAAATTAAAAAGTAGAAATAACGCATCACGGGGATTAAAATTCCGTGTTCACGTTTCACGGAAATTTCCGAAGTAAAAGGACAGTCAGTACATGGCTGGACCTGTTCAGGATTCTGCTGTGTTTCGCTTTTTGTGCCTCCCGCACAACTAATACAGAGAAGTGACGGAAGTCAGGTAAACATACAATGAAATGTAGGTGTAAGTAAACTGATGATGACTAATGCTGACGGATATATAGTACTCAAAAGGAACGTCATTTGACTCTCCCTTGTCTCAAAGTTGAGTTTGACGGTTCTTCTGCTACGAGTATAGTAACTGCTCGTAGAAAAGTCATTTCATCCTCGTTGTCGTCGTTGCTTACCGCAGAAGCTTTGCTTCATTCTGCAGACTTTTCTAACCGACAGATCTAGAGTTTTATTTCAATCGAGGAACTTATTAGACCACGCTTTCGGACTAAGATTTCAAACCAGTCTACTCAATGATGTGACGCTTAAGAGCTTCAAGGGATGAATGTTTACTGTTTATGGGTATTCGAATTAGTTTTTCACCTCCAAGAAAACCTATGGATCCCACAGATTTAGCATAATATATTACTCCTTCCAATTTAAAAACTTGTCCCTCTAATTTAAAAACTGCCGGCTTTTGCAACCAAGATCCCCATGCAAACCCCTCCTTTGTTAGCTCCACAAAAATAAGAGTTGAATTATGATTGCTTGAAAAAAAACTGACTCATCAGCTCACGGAAATCGTTTCCCAGCTCGGGATCGCAGACGCCCTTTTCTCGGCGGGTGAAACAAGAGCCAAAACAAGTGTGTGCTCTCGCAGGCTTGGTCATGGTTTAGGACGACATATATAATAGGAACGACTGTAAGGGCCGGTTATTTAAAACAAAGCCCAACTTTGGCCGTGGTTTAAGAAATCGTTGGGCATCCAGATCTCCTTCTAAGTGGGTTATTTTAACCCTTTGGTGACGGCCGGCTAATGGCGAAAAAACAGGATTTTCCACCAATTCCTCTTCCTTGGACTAGTTTTCGGCTAATTGGCATAACTATGGCTTAAAACGAGTTTTTCTAGAAAAAAGACATATTTTCCAACTAATGTGACGTAATTAAACAGCTTTTTTGTTTTTCACACATGTGCAAAAGCCAAAACTTTGACTTTTTTTGGCGAATCTATTTTGATCTTTCTCTCTCGCTCTCTTTTTTCCTTCTTTATTGGCGGTTTTGTTGCCCACGTTATCGTCTTTCTTTTGCATGAAATTGTGGCTGGCTAACTTTTCAAGAAAGGGACAAATTTAATTTTCAACGAGTAGTATGTAAACAGTGAAATTGGCAGTGGAATTCTCCCCAAAATCTTACCTTTTTTGTGAGTGTAACTCTGTCAGGGTTAGTCAGAATATCCCAAAACGAGGTATCTCTGGAAAGATCTATCTTTGCTGACGTTGTTGCTTACCAATTTATTAACATCAACTGAAAGCTAAATGGGTCAGGGGAAAATTGTATACATTGTACCATATGGCGACGTATACGACCCTAGTCTACCCTCTTGCTGCCATGAAACTTTCGCCATAACCGGTGTTACGATAAAGCGTTGAAAAAATTGAAAATGGCTCAGAACACGGTTTTGTCAACCACTCGCTAAACTTCGTATAAATAACCGGCCTTTGAGTTTTTTAAGACCTTTTAGAAAAGTTCATTTGAAGGTCCACTGGCTTCCCTGTAGAATTTGTCTTCAGTTGACACTAATTCACGAAAAAATTAGTTGAAAATCACGAATATCGGGTGAAAGATTTTAACGTTCACGTATCACGACAAGCAAACCGGTCACAGTTCACGGGTTTTAATTTCGTATTTTCACCTTTCACGAAAATTAAAAACACTTAATCACGTATCAGGCAATAACCCCTTTACCCCCCTCTTACAAACGAATATTTCTATGTTCACAACAGAGATCAAGACCTGGCCGCGGTTGTTCAAAAGACGTATAGCGCTAACTAGTACCAAAACTAATAGCGTTATCCACTTGATAGTGATTTGTCCCAGTGGAAAGCGCTATCCACCTTTTGAACAGGCGGTTCAAATTTCATCAGCCGAACTGTTTCCATGACAACAATTTAATTAATAGTACGGGATTTCACAATAATTTCTGAATCCCGGAAGTATGTAACCATTCGCCCGAGACAAGGGAAATTTCCCTGGTAGTTCTTTGAATTCATCATTTTAATGAGAAAGGCTTAGAAAAGCAAGGAGTAAGTCATTTTCATTTAGCTGTGGATGGTCGTAGATGTATTTCTGGCCTCTTCTCATATTTTGTTTGTAGACAAAGTGAAGCCGAACTGTTTCCATGACATCATGTTAATTTCACAATAATTTCTGAGTGCCGGAAGTACTTAACCATTCATTCGCCTGACAAGGGAAATTTCCCTAGGAGTTATTTCAATTCATCGATATTTTTATAAGAAAGGTTAAGAAAGCAAAGAGTAAGTCATTTTCATTTAGCTGTGGATGGTCGTAGATGTATTTCTGGTCTCTTATCCAAGTCAAGAGAAGGACTCTAAAACTATCTTTACTCTAACGAGTTGCATAACAAAATTTGTTGTCACGCGATTTTTCACATCACAAAGGAACAACACTCCTATTTAGGATTGCTTAAACTGGGACTGAAGGCATATCATTTGATCTGGCATCTTTTGAGGTAATTAACTGATACTAAAATTCGCTTCCATCCACTTCACATTCATTGCTTGTGACTCTTGACGTTCGCCGATTGTCAGACTGGATCGATCACATGTTTAAATATTCCGAATGAAGAGCGCGCAGTACCGACGTTTTAGTCGGCAATATGTTTGACTCTACAGTGGAACCCCGCTCTACGAACACCCGCTTAATACGGACACCCGCTTTATACGGACAGTTTCGTTTGTCCCGACAAAAAGCTCATATATTTTCTCTAAAATTAACCCGCTTTATACGGACACCGGTTAATACGGACAACGGACACTTTTCTTTGTCCCGAGTCACAAACTCTCACAGATTGTCAACCCCGCTTTACGGACACTGGTTATCTGCACACTGTCTATTTTCATTGTCACAATGATGTGATAATTGTAGACATTGTACCCTGTTCAAATAATGACAGATTTTTAAGGGTGAATAAAATTTTTTTTACAGTACTAAAAAAATCAGTAACAAAGTAGCGTGGCATATTTGATTTTGAACAGTCTGTCTTTATTCCGGTGTTTGACTCTTATACTACGTATAGTCCTTCAATATAAAGTTTTCTTCCTCCTGTTACACAAGTTTCACTTCCTTGGCTTTTTGTTGCAGTCATTGCTCTTAAAGTAAAGTCACAGACTTTTTCAAATGAATCCACTGTCGTGCCTGTTTCAATAACAATACTACAATACTTAAGAGATTTTACTCTGAGACTATGATGAATGATCGTGAGGTTTCTTTAGGATGAACTTGTTACTGTTACAGTTAAGAAATTAACGTTTTATCGTAAAACTGTCTGCTTTGGTCTTTATATCGATAAAACATGTGTTCCTGACGTTTTCTCTGAGAGCCCGCTTAATACAGACACCCGGATAATATGGACACTATGGCATGTCCCCTTGGTGTCCGTATTAACCGGGTTTCTCTGTAAATCTTAAAAGTTGTTTCGACTTTATACATCTAAGAGCAAAATAACGTTTAATAAATAAAGTTTATGTTGTCTGGATAAATTTATTGACAGGTACATGTAAATCGAGTCGTCAAAAATGGCTTGCGCGCAAGATCCACCGGAAGTCAACATGGCCCTGCTCAAGACAAAGGACCTAAAGGGCAAGAGCATAAGTTGGGAGAATATAGAGCTCCCGATAGACTTTCTGCTGCTGACAGTGAAAGAATGCGAGTTTTTAAGTAGCCTTTCATTCCTGAATCGTGGATTTACCAAGAGTTATCACAAAAGAGTAGGATATGTGTACTTTGGGTATATTGGTGAATATGAAGCCAAGAAACTAAAAATTGCCTTGATAAAATGCAATTCGGGCTCTGCCGGTCCTGGAGGCTCCAGTGTTGTTGTTAAAAATGTCGTCGGTGCCTTAAGGCCTAAAGCTGTTATCAGCGTGGGGTACTGTGCAAGTTTGAACCACCAAAATGCCAAACTAGGAGATGTTGTAGTTTCAGCAAATCTAACAACATACGCAGCTGCAAAAATCCAAGAGAATGGTGATATTGAGGAGCTTGGTCACAGTGTGCCCCCAAAAAAGCATCTTTCGGACCTTATAAAAAGTGTTGATGAAGGCTGGGAAGCACCTCTAAAAAATCCAGGTGAATTAGACGTGAAGGTAGACCGCGATGGGGTATTTCTGAGTGGGCCTGAAGAAGTCCAAAGCAAGAGGCGATGCTCCCAACTCAGAAAGCGGTTCCCAAATGCTGTTGCAATAGAAATGGAAGGAGAAGGTAATAGCTAGTAATCAGCAGTTGTTTCTTGACCTCTGGCTTTACAAAAACGTTTCGTAAAGGATGCCCTTTCTGAAGAGCCTAACGTGGTTTTCTTTTTATGGCACTTGCTGTATTTTTAGGGCTTTACGCAGCTGCATACGATCTAGACATTGAGTGGATTATTATAAAGGGTATCTCTGAATACGCGCACAGTAGCAGTCCTCCAGCGGATTCTTGGAGACAATTTGCCAGTGTTATGGCGGCTTCAGTGACTGCTCACATGCTTAAAGATCCCATTGTATTCCAAAAGTGGCGTCATTATGGAGGTGAGGCTTGAAATCATTTCTAGGACTTAGCGCTTTAAAAGAGTTCTTTTCCCTGTTTAGCTTATTTGGTCAGCAGCAAAGAAATCATACTGAAAGTATTTTGTTTCGCACAATACATTTAAATCTCTTTCCCGGCTGATTAGGTGACTCCAGGCCCCTATTTTTCATTCCTTGTTGATTCCTAATAGAAATCTGAATTCTTTCCGTCTGAACATCTGCTGCTGTTCCGTCTTTCCTCTGCTGTTATGAATGGAACCTTACGTGCAGACACATGCAAAATGACCCGATTTCTCGGCATTTTGGAAATGACAGTGAAATCGCCTCACTATCATAAAGAATTAGCCTAAGGTTCTTCAAACCACAAAAGCACATTTTCTCGAAATTAAGTTGAATTTTCTTTCACAAAAAATCAACGCGAATAGCCAAATTTGCAAAAAACGTCTTAGATGCGGTAAATTTAATTAAAAACATGCTACTTTATAAGTTGCAATTGGTATATGCAAGAACTATACAATGTAAAATGATATAACTAGAATCATATGTTCATGTTGTCCTTCGACAGCACTGTGATTAAGAGAAATACTGTTCAAATGAGGCCTTAAACTGCTGATTAAAAAATAAAATTGGAATCCAAGCTTTCGCCGATCAACTGCATCGTCCCTAATGAGCTTGGACTTTAAATTTTATTTTTTTACAATCAGCAATTTAAGGCCCCATTTGAACAAAAAATTTTTATCTTGAATGCGTGAAATAGGGAGAATGTTTCTTGTCTCAAAATTCAGGTCATTGTTCACAGACCCGACTTCTTAAGCAGACTACAACAGCGGTACCCCCCAGAGAGGCCTTGGTTCCTGTGACTAATAACGCTAGAGGTAAGGGTAGTAACAAATCAGTCAGACTTATTTTGTAGTTTGGTTTAGCATTTCTGCACCCTTTGATTAGCTGGAAAATCTCAAGTCACTTTTTCGAGAGAGAATAAACTCGTTCTTGACTTACTTCCCTTGATTTTCCCGTACTTCGCTCATGCAAAACTGACTGACTGGTTCACTGGAATCTCTGCACGTATTGTGGATGGTCAGACGCTAAAATCTTTTACTGTATTAACAAATTGACGCCAGTTTTTTATTGTCTGTCCTCTGTATTGATGATAAAATGACGTCATAACATTGTCAGTGTTGTGGATCCACGAGCCGCTGGCCGAATCCGAATGCCGAATCCGAATGCCGAATCCGAAGCCGAATGCCGAAGTTCGCAAATGACCGCGTCTTGCATAAATTAAAATTTTATCGTTCTGTCTGTCCTCCTATTGGTAATAAAAGTTAACCAATCAGCGTGCGAGATAGTTATTGCAAAAAATTGTTTTGTCTTTAAAACATCACACTATTATGCTATGCTAACTTGTTTCAAGTTATATACTAGATCTAAATTAAGAATGCTAATTGCATTCACATCGATACAACCTACGTCTTTTCGTTTATTAGCCTGATCTGCGTGGTGTCTGTAAAGAAGAAATAAGTTGAAAAAATAAAGTTTAATCTCAAAGTCTGGGATTTAAGTCTTGGGAATTTCGGCTGTATCGCACAGTCTTCATCAGTCAATTAACGCTAGGAGTTATCACGTGAATAAGTCAGGTAAAAACGAATGATTGAAAATCGCGGGAAGTTCAAAACCACCATCTCTGTTTAGGGTTGGACGCTAGCTAGTTGCATAATATGATTTGGTTACTGAATTGGTATTCTTTTAAATTTGTCAGAAAAAGTTAATTGGTTGATCATGAAAAATCAAATGCTTGGATCCTGAAAAAGCTGTTGTTTTGAGCGCTCGCTCTTCGTCAGAGCGAATGAAGTAAGATCGAGGTGAAATTACTAAGGTACTACAAAGCGATAGAGTAGAGTAATTCTTAAAATCACAAAACCAAACATTGCTTTATATTAATTTTACTAAAAGACACCGACCTGACAAAATAACGAGTCAAGCCAAAAACTGGTGTTGCGGAAAGGTGTGGGTATATATTGTTCGGCTCTTGTATTACGTCATTTGATGATTGCACCTAATAGCTGTCTCCGACATTCACGTCAGAGTGCTGGCACACGGGCTAGAATCCAGCAGCTGTTCTTAATAAACTCCTCTTAACCCTACTCAGACCGGAGAGCTTTTGAGGTAGCCCTCCCTAAAAAGTTGGATAACATCAAAACCGTTCAAGCTATGATCGCCAAACTTTTCAAGTCGTCGTAACGTGTACCTCAACATTGATGTTACCATAGCAACCGACTTAAGACAGCCATTGTTTTTCAAAATTTGCATTTTTTTCTATAAAGAAGGTTTATTTCAACCTTTACCTATTGAGTCGTAATATTACACTTAATTTAGCATTATTTTATCAAACATATTATAACTGTTCATTTAATCCAGGCTTTTAAGTGACTAATTTGAGAAAAAAAACATGAATTGTAAATGACCCAATGACAGATGCTGGTTACAATATTAAGCAGAGTTCATTTCTCTCTGAATTTCATTAATTGCCAATTACTTCCCAAGCATCCCATTTTTTACACAAAGAAAATTTTCTCTCACGATTACCTCGATTAATACGCCTTTTAAGTAAAATAGGATACATTTAATTAGTTCAAAATGGTCTATTCTAGATAATGGACGGTTCCAGTCCCTTTTTTTCGACGACGGCGGCAAGAACCAATAAACCATTTTTTTTTTTCTGAGACACCTCACTATGTAAGCATGTTTCGCTTCATGGCTACTTTGAGGGAAATTTGGATTCTGCCAATAAATCCAAAAAAATCCCGTCATAATGGCGTCAAACTACTGTCATTGTGTCTATCAAATTATGTTTACACCATGTCTGATATGAAAATTAATGCTTTCGAAATAACCGATTTTTTTTTATAGGTTTTCCGGCAACTTCATCATCCAGTGTTTTAAAGCGAAGAGGAGAATTCCTATCAACAGGTGATTGAAATGATATAAATATCAACCGGAAAAAGTACACTTCTCATCTATATATGTCAGATGTTGCCTATCAGCTGGCAAAAGCACAAACAGGAGGGATAACCCAGGTTAAAGCTCGTTATACTATTGACCCGGTGTCATAAAAACAAAGTCCGGCGTCCTTTCTACAAGCTTCAAAATTTGGAAGCCGGTTTCTTCTCCAAATATGAAACCAGAAATAAGACCAATTCTTAGAAGTACTTCTTGATGATTTCAATTTCTACCTCCTTTTTATCCCTAGAGTCGCCTGAAAAAACAAGTAAATTGTTGCCAAGCAACTGTGCCAGTAATGCCGAACAGTCAGTGGTCTCGAGTTCAAGGACTGCAGATGGTATTATTCAATGTTTTCGTGATTTACACAATTTTATATTATCTTTTTCGATAGTAAGGTCAACAGTTGGATAAAAAATATAATATTCCTCACATCTGATCAGGAGCTAGAGTGCTGATGTCGCCATTAAAATCAAATTCTTCACGGTCACGTTCCTATCAGCCGGCGAGCTGAGCAGGTTCGCGACGTGGGTGTTCCGACCAGTTTTGCAAGACCCTCTTCACTCTGACTGATAAATGGAGCAGCTTTCCATTCCAAATGACTTAAGGGTGCCAAAAACTATATCCATGCTACATAATGATAAAAGTGATAGTGATCTGAATTTCTATTAATTGTTTTTCTAATTGAAAAATATAATACGCGTTAGCACCTTGCGATTTACGCATGCTTTCCTTTATGGCTAGTTTGAGGGAAATTTGGATTCTGTCAATAAATTAAAAAATACACGTCATAATGAGGTCAAGTTACGTCATTGTGTCTATCAAGTTATGTCTACACCATGTCTGATATGAAACCAATGCTTTCGAAATAACCGATTTTTTTTTCCGGAATTTTTTTGGTTCTCCGGCAACTTCATCGTCCAGTGTTTTAAAGCGAGAAGGAGAATTCCTATCAACAGGTGATTGAAATGATATAAATATAAACTGGAAAAAGTAAACTTCTCATCTATATATGTCAGATGTTGCCTACCAGCTGGCAAAAGCACAAATTAAACAGTAGCCTGCGAAAACATTCGTTTCTCCTCGCTCTTCGTCGCTGGGGACGTTTCGCGTTGGGGAACGTCTGCGACTCAGCGACAGAAATTCCATACTGATGACGTAAAGTCTGTCCGGAATCCGGTCAGAAGCGCTGATTGGTCGACGCAGCAGTTACATTGTTTTAGCTATTGTTTATGAATGACAGACAAAAGACAAAAGGCCACAAAGGTCAAATGTAAACGCGAAGAATCTCTAACAAAACAGTCAATATTTGTGGAATGTAGTCTTCTCTAGAAGAAGCATTTGAGTTTTACAGGAGCTCGTGGGCAGATCAACACAACACTTTACCAAAATCGACCAGAAGAAACGCAGAATTAGACAAATTTATATCTGGAACCCCATGACTACCGGATTTATTATGTAAACATTGATTTGCGTCATCAGTATGGAATTTCTGTCGCTGAGTCGCAGACGTTCCTCCGCGCGAAACGTCCCCAGCGAAGAAGAGCGAGGAGAAACGGATGTTTTCGCAAGCTAATTAAACAGGAGCGATAACCCAGGTTAAAACTCGTTATACTTTTGACCGGATGTCAAAAAAACAAAGTCCGCCTTTCTTTCTATAAGCTTCAAAATGTGGAAGCCGGTTTCTTCTCAAAATATGAAACCAGAAATAAGACGAATTCTTAGAAGTACTTCTTGATGATTTAAATTTCTACCTCCTTTATATCCCTAGAGTCGCCTCCAAAACCAAGTAAATTGTTGCCAAGCAGCTGTGCCAGTAATGCCGAACAATCACTGGTCTCGAGTTCAAGGACTGCAGATGGTATTATTCAATTTTTTCGTGACGTCAAGTTACGTCATTGTGTCTATCAAGTTATGTCTACATCATGTCTGATATGAAACTGATGCTTTCGAAATAACCTATGGTGTGGTTCCTGATTTTGTTATAGGTTCTCCTGCGACTTCATCGTCCAGTGTT